AGCCAGGTTACTCATGTGGATAGTCAAAGGGTGCCGGGACACTAACTTTAGTAGGGAGTTTGTATTTACATGCCCTTGAGGGTGAGTGGGTTGATTTGATCGTGCTCGTGACTTGAAGTTTTTTAAAAATAAGAACACAAAACTACCAGTGAAAAATTTGCCTATGTTGAAAGCCCCACTCATGAGGAGTGGACTAATATTTGCCACACATCCACTTCGTAGTAGAGGCCGCCTGCTATCACCTGCCTCCCATAGAAAATTGGGCAAACTCATTTTCCTAGATCGAGATAGAGCACTCCATAATCCCCTTGGGAGACAGCTCCCAGTTCCCACCACTCCAGTACCTCTTCCATAATCACCTGGGGAGACATCTCCCAGTTCCCACCACTCCAGTACCTCTTCCATAATCACCTGGGGAGACAGCTCCCAGTTCCCACCACTCCAGTACCTCTTTCACAATCACCTGGGGAGACATCTCCCAGTTCCCACCCTCTGGTACCTCTTCCATAATCACCTGAGGAGACATCTCCCAGTTCCCACCCTCCAGTACCTCTTCCATAATCACTTGGGGAGACATCTCCCAGTTCCCACCCTCCAGTACCTCTTCCACAATCACCTGGGGAGACATCTCCCAGTTCCCATCCTCCAGTACCTCTTCCATAATCACCTGGGGAGACATCTCCCAGTTCCTACCCTCCAGTACCTCTTCCAGCACATGCCCACTGCTCTGTCTCCCTTGTATGTTCAACTACACCTCTTCTATAGCATGGCTACAAATTCCTCATGCTTCTCTCTAGTCTGTAATATTCCTCTCCTTTTCCTTCCAAATTACCTACATTTCAAACACCTCTTAAATCCCTGTTTCTGGACTTTTTGCTCTTCTGCTCTCTAAATCCGAGTGAGTACAATGCTAGAAATTCTTTTTTATTTTTCTTTTTGGTTTTTTTTTTCAAGACAGAGATTCTCTGTGTAACAGTCCTGGCTGTCCTGGAACTAGCTCTGTAGACCAGACTGGCCTCAAACTCACAGAGATCCACCTGCCTCTGCCTCCCGAGTACTGGGATTAAAGGCGTGCGCCATGTCAGCTGGACTCATTGCTAGGGATTCTTGGCAGCATGACTTTAGCCAGAGGGTAGATGTATCTATCCGTCTTGTGGATGACCTGTCCACTCACCTTCCCACCTGCCTACCTGTCTACTTCTAATTTACAACCAGATTTATTTTTGCCTATCAGATGCTGCCCATACCTGGCATTTGAGGCGTATTTAATGTGAAATGGCTTCTGATGGAGCTCAAACGATTAATTATACTGTAAGTATTTTCATTAAGTGAAGCCTACATGTACTGGGTTAAAAAAAAAAAAGTCACACATACAGTAGCAAAGGGAAATACCAAAAACTCTCCACTTTTGTGCCAGTGAACATGGGCACTTCTGAGCATAATGCTTAGGTGGATGGCCAGTGCCATGTCCTACGGCTGGTCAATTATCAGTGAGCTTTGAAAGCATTTCTCTGAACAGCATTATTAGGGCCTGAGGAAGAAGATGCTAGTCTCAGATCTCAAATAAGAGGTCAGTGTACCCTAAAAGAGTCTTCCTCACAGATTTTAATTTCAAGAACCCCTTTCCAAGTGCCAGATCCCCTTTCCTGCGGATGTAGTGACGTGCCCTTCCTATTGGTTCCTCTATACAGGCCGGAGCAATGAGTGGGCAGTACTTACTTACTGAGAGCTCCGCATCTCAAAATATTGGATCTGGAAGTTTAACACCATCTGCTGTACAGTGCTGGCCTGACTCCATTCAAGTCTTAAATGTTAAATTCAATGTCTATCCTAATGGTTTCTCTACATACAGGTAGCCTCCAGTTCATACTGTCTTGTCTCTTACACCAGGTATTATGGGATATGGTACCCAGGGCAGGGACCCATACTTAGTAACCTTGTGAGTTACAATTCAGTTTCACCATGGTTAACATGGGGAAGTTTTATGGGTTATTGTCTGAGAACTTGATAGCTTGGTCTAAAAGAATATTTCCATGGAAAATTACATGTCCTGCGACCAAACTGGAGGACTGTAGTCCCGTTGTAGTATAGTAAATTATACTACAGGAATTACCTGACAGTATGATTAAAAAATTAAAACAATCAGTTTTAGTTATTGGTTGAAGACCATCCAACCCCTGTAGGGGTTCTCCCTTCCATGCAAAATATAGTTTCGTGGTTTGGGCAAACACTGGCCCTGGCATCCCCAGACCTGTCTGCTGCCACCGTGGATATCTGACACTTTAGACTTCGCCTTTTCAGCTCTCAGGACCACCAAGTTTTCCTTTCAGCCTCAGAATGCTGCAGCACCTGTGTATACCACACCACAGACCCTCCCCTATACTGTCTCTAATTTTCCTTTGTAGAAGACGATGGCAGGAGGAGAAACACATGAACAAGGCGGGGAGGGGGGCTAGAGACAAAGTCTTGGATACCTCCTCGGGGAGGGCAAACTGCAAGCAACTTTAAAATGGTCACGGCCCGTTTATTTCATAGCCGGCCTCGAGACAAGCAAGTCAGTTATTCATTCTATTTGTTTAGCTTATCCCATGTAGGAATAGAATTTGGGGTGCTTAATTTGCACTGGACCCAGTGGAACAGATGCAGTCTCAAGAGTGAACGTGTGAAGTGGATGGACCCAGTCCCGGTGCCCCGATGTAGAAGTGGCACAGCGACCCGTTAAGGTGACGGAAGCTCTTTTGATTAATCACTAAATCCCAAGCACCCGAAGGAAACCATAGGGGCCAAAATTTATAGCACTTTTTATTTTCCAATGAAATGAAATGACTTAATGTTTTTCTACACCAGACTTATCCAGTTGCTCCGTGTACAGTGCAGGATATAAATGTCAGCACTGTGGCAGGGGTGTGCTGACACTCGGTGAATATTTCAGGTCTGCACACTGTCATTATTTTGCCTTCCCTGCCCTGACAGCTTGCTACCGAATTGAACATACCTGGAAAGAAGTCAGTTGGCTTAGAACACAGCTCAGTTTCTCTTGGGGTAATTTCTCTGTCTAGGCTCTACTGGGTCTTTGCATAGACAAAGCAGAATTGGTTGTATTCTGCTGTCCCGAACAAAATCAGTAGTCAGAAATCTTGTCCGCAGATGATTAAGTATCATTTGAGAAAGGGGAAGCAATTCCTTCGCCTATCATCGTGGGCTCCATGCAGCCAATGGAATTCAACACTATTCCCCTTGTGTAGTGGCTGATTAACCCACAGAAGCTGTAGGTTTTCCTAGGGTGTTTTCAACCTATGGCGGCACAACTTTGAATGGACACTGGTTCCACCTAGAAAACATCTAAAAAGTCCACACACCCACGCTACACCTCAAACCAATTACATCATAATCTGGCATGAAGTCCAGTATCAGTGGACATCAGCATTCCTAGAGGACATCAGTCTCTTTGTATGAGTCTCTTCTCAAAGGATGATAGGAGCATGGACACCAAGGAGCAGACCTGGTCACTACTGGCGTGTGGGAGAAGAAAGGCTTCCCTTTTGTGGACAGTTGTAAACTATTCATTGAGTTCTAAAGCCATTAACTTGTAAGAAATAACGGAATGTTCAACTTAGCAAGCCCAGGTAGGCAGTTTACCTATATAGCAATTAAACCTCCAAGAATTAATCAGCTTGTAATCAGTCATTGTTCTCTCCTCTGACATTTGAATTAAAGAACTATTATTATCCGCCACTGTGTTCCTGTCCCTCTGGCCCGCTCTATAGGAATGGATGGATGAAGCCAATAGCGAAGATCTACTGGAGAAATGTTTGTACCATCACCCTAAACTTGTGATGGATGTGAAACTCTTTAAAGATGAGTCTACTCAGTTAATTGATGGAAAGTCTCGGGACTTCAAGGGGTCAACTATGTTCCCTTTTTAACCCTAAATCACTCTAGAAATCCTTACAAAATTTTGCTTTTGTGGAACTTGTGCACATCACATTTCATGCTTGTTTCCTAGTCCAAGACTAGTTTGATTTCAGTCCTGGGGCTGACTTGGGCAGTACCATTCAAGTGCAAAACGTCAGTCTCAATAATTTTAAGGGGGGTGGGGATTGGTTGGGAGGGGGATGAGTATTTGAGGATACATCTACTTTTCTGTTGCTACCTTTGTTGCCTAGGTATTTTCCCACCCATATCTGTCACTTGTTATGTATCTACCTCACTTTACCCAGATGGACTTCTGAGGAACTGAGGGTAGATTGTACCAAACCATCACTGTAAGAGCTTGCTTCTAGAACATGTTACAGCTTTTGAGTAGTGAACCGCAGACTTGTTTTTAAAGTAAGAGTATTCTGTTTTTTGTTGTTGTTGTTGTTGTTTTTCTTTGAGTTAGCATTCTGGGGTGTGTTCTGAACGCTTCTCCTTTTCAGCTTAACTTGCACTAGCCACCCTCAAGTCTTTCTAACCACAGCACTCTTCAGAACAGAATTGACACTAGGCAGATGCTGCTAGCCCTGGAGATGGAGGCTCCTCTGTGCTTTCTCTCGGGCTGGATTTCCACAAAACCCCTTGCAAGCGCAGATGGGGGAGAAAGTGCAAGAGGTTTGGGAGGTAAGCACAGTAAAATAGCTTTCAAGAAAGACCCCTGGGCGTGTTCTTAGAGGGGCAGGGGAGAAAAGGGGCGGGCAATGTTGTGTGTGTGCTCTGGTGGTGTTTGGTTGTGAGGGTGGTGTGGTAGTGGGATATTTGTTGATGGGAATTATAAAGGGACACTATTCATATCCTCTGCACTAGACAAAGGATCCCGTGTCACTCACAAGCAAGGCACCTGGGGACCCTTGGGCTGCAGCAGGCAAAGGAGTACCCTTAAGGGCCTCAGAGCCCTTCCCACGTAGCCCGAGGTCGGGGGAGGCTCACAGCCTTCCAGGCTGGCCCCGGGTGGCTGCGTGCGTGCGGTGGGGGTGCCCTGGGGTCCGCCGATGATGGCCCAGGGGGGAGGGAACGGTTCTTACAGTCACTGGTCAGCGCAGCGAAGGGCGCGCGGCGGTGGCCAAGGGAGCGGTCTTCGGTGGGCGCCTCGGGAAGCCTCTTACCGGCGGGCAGCGGGAAGGCGGACGCGGTGTGGAGCAACACCAGGCAGACAGCCACGACATCCCATAACTTCATCTTAGAATCCCGTCCAGCGGCGGCACCTGCGCGGGCGGGCGGCGGGGAAGAGAACCGCACCATGCAAGTTAGGCTCCCACGCCTAGGACCCTAGGACCGGGACGCTGGCTGCAATGCCGCCTCCCTGCCGCTCCCCAGCCTTGTTCCCAAGAACCCCGCACTCGCCCAGGTCTCCGGCTCAAAGCTCCTTCATCCGGGTGCACCCCAGGTGCAGCCCACATTCCTGACACGGCCTCTGCTGACCTCTTCCCAGCCCTCCAGTTCCCAGGTCCCAGATTTTGGACGTAAATTTACACTGCAACCACTAACCGGCTGCTTCTACTGGCGCACGACACCCCATATTCCCTCGGGGGCGTACAGGGTAGCCCCTATCCGGCTGCCTTTGCCAGGCCCTGGACAGAAACCTTCCTTCCCCACCTAGCAGCTTCCATAGTTGGGCCCTGGGAGCCAGCTTTCCACCCAAGCAAGCAACAAGGACTAAAATCAAGCTGACCCCTCTGTCTCAAGCTGGGCCTTCCTTCCCACTAGGTAGGATGCAGGCTTGGTGGGAACACTCACTCTGCCGGCCGCCCACCCTTCCAACATCCCAGCTAAGTAAGAATTTTGTCACCCAGAGCAAGTTAATGTGGAATTGCAGGCTTTGGCCTGCATGAAAGTGTCTGGGTTAAGTTACCAAACTTTGGAAGCATCGACTTGGCTTAAAACGCTAGTTCCACTTCTCAAGAACATTAACATTAACATGAAAAAGTTCAGTAAAGGCCCAATAAATGTTTGACCGTTGTTAGTAGGCAGGGATTGCACATATCTCGAATTTTTAAAATCTTCCGTGGTATACCCGAATATGCTCTTGATTTTATTTTTGCAGCTTTGTGAAATTTTGGCTCTAATCCCCTCCCTCGCAGCAGAGATGCTGGCATTTTGCACCTCCTGAACACTGTAGGAGGCCTCGGGCACCAGAAGGAGTGAGGGCCACGTCTTTCCAGAGAGTCCTTTGGATTCTTAGGCCTCACATCCCTAAAAAGGAGGGTCATACAGTCTGGGGTGAGTGAGGCAAAAAAGCTTTGTGAACTTGGCGAGAAGTCCTATCCAAGAGATGGGAAGACTGAATCACCTAGGGGTATGGTGTTAATCTCGCTTTTAGGAGCCCCAGAGTCGGGAGACCACTGCCTGGAGAGCATTCTCAAATCGGAAAACCCATGCATTTAATAAAACAGCCTTGGCATTTTCCATGGGGGAGGGCAAAACAGTTTCCAGGTAAGCACCAAACAAACCAACAAACCAAAAGATCCTCTCCGCACCTTTCCTATTAGTCTTCAGGCACTTGCCCTCCCTCCTTTCCGGGGTACATCCCTCCCGCCCCTCACAATCTCCACCCAGAATTCCAATCTAGGCCCCTTGATAAGGCCACCAGGAAAGCGTTTAATTCGGCCACCACCTCCCACCGCTGCGGAGACGAATTCATTTTCCATCCCTTGGGCGTCTGTTGTCTCCGCAGCTGTTGAACTCGGAGATTGGGAAGCGACGGAACCACACAGCGCCGAGGTTCCGGCTGCGCGGGCTGGCTTGTACACCCCAGAGGAGGGAAAAAGACGCCTCTGGGTCCCTCCCGGCGCGCAGGCCCAGGAAAACTCCTAGGCAGTGCAGAGGCGCTTGCTTCGCGAGCTGGGAGCGGGGGAAGGCGAGGCCTCCCGCCTCCTCCGGGGTGCCAGCTCTGCCAGCTCCCGGGTGCGTGCGAAATGGCTGGCGATCCCGAGCAGCAGGGAGGCGCGGGGTTAAGGCGCCGTCCCAGATCGCAGTGCCGGGCAGCAGGAAGCTGCGGAGGCACCAGATTTCCCTTCCGCATTAAGAGGGTTTTCCCCCTTTTCCCAGTTTGGCTCACGGAGGGCTTTTGAAATTGGATGTGGAGAGACTCGATCAGAAGTGTGGCGACGTTGGCAAAGGAGGGAAACACTGGAACGTTCCCTCTCCGCCTCGCCAGAGGAGGCTCTCCATCTCATCCTAGGCCGGGAGCCTTGGGCACCCCGAAAGCGTTCCCTCCCATCCCAAGACTGAGCCGCGGCGCTCTTTGCTGAGAGCTGGGAGGCCGGTTTCTCTCCAAGCCGCCCTTTAGTTGGTGACACTTGCTCTCCCCATTCCATCGGGTCAAAAGATGGGGTGTGCGTCTCCTAGGAGGTTCTTCCCATGAATACATCTGGGCCCCTCCTCGAGGCATCCATCTCTGCTTATCCCAAAGCATCAGCTGGACCTGTCCCCGCCACGCCTGGCCTTTGCGGCACGTGAAAAGAGCTTAAGGCACCGGCTCTTGCGGGAGACCAAGCTTTTCACTCTGCCGTTGGCTCTGCCAAGTGACCCCTCGTTTTCTCTCGGGCTTGGAAAGCTGGTTCCCCTCTGCATCTGGGACCAACTCATCCCAGCAAAGCAAAGGATTGTGCGGTGCACGTGGGCACCGGGTAGGTCCCAGGACTCAGGGTTAAAGGATGCGCAGAAAGCCGCTGTAGTGACTGCCAAACCGCTGCTCACCGATTCTGAGTTCCCGGCACCAGGGGGCACCAGAAACCGCTCGGGCCCTGTAGCGCTTGTGCGGCGGGTAGGCTGAATTATCATTTTAAAATATAAAACCCTAGAAGAACCACTGCGTCTGCCATCTATCCCCAAACTAGCCCAGGGACCTGTGGTTGTCCTTATGCGAATCCTCACTTTTCAGGTTTCTACTCTTCTGTTCCTTTCCCCCATTCTCCCTCTCCGCATTTCACCTGAGGTGGTTTCTTGGCAACCTGCTTTTCAGACACCCTGATCCTCTGTCACCGAGACAGCTTCGCAGTGGGCGATTGCTCCTGCTACCAGCCAGTGTCCCCGCACCTTTTTGGAGCTGACAGGCTGGGAAGTTTGTTTGGGATTTGCTTTCAAGACCCGGTGGTGTGGGAGGAGAGGGCACTCTGAACTCGGGTGTTTCCTCTAGGGTCCGGACAGACATTACTAAAAGCTCTGTTGCTTTTATCTTCTGTGCTCAGTGTCCTTGACTAAGGACGTATTCTCTTATCACTCCCCCATAACTGACCAGCCCAGGATGGAGAAAGGGGGGGGGGATTGGGGATGCTTTGGAGAAAGGGGGAAACATATGGGATGCTTCTGGAAGGCAAACCAGAGGGGTCCGTTTGTTAGAGGACCCAAGGTTGAGTTCTAGGCCCCGGAGCAACTCCAATCTCTTGCAACAGTGAGCTAGAGTCGCCGCGGGCATCTTGGACACTAGACACTTGTCACTTGTTTAAAAGACACCTCCCCCAACAAAGCGCCGAGAGAAACCGAGTGGGCATGGTCAGGGCAAGAAGGAAACAGCGAATCCCTCTTTTGAAGGCTTGGTGGGAGGAGGTGCCCGCTTATGGGTGTTAGCATTTCCCTAAACAAACACAAATTCAAAATACGGGGGGAGAGAGTGAGTCTAGTGCTCTCTAATACAGTCCCTGAAGGGACTGGCAGAGCCGCGCTTATCCGGGTCAAACAGCACAAACTTGGCGAACTCTGGCGATGGACAACCTTCCCAGGGCGCGCTCATCCGCCCTGAAGGCAGGTTCTGCCACAGGAGAGGCTCCCGGCGGGGAAACCCTGATTCGTGGGTTTCTTTTCCCTGGGTGGGGCTGGAAACCAACTCATTGAGGAGTCTACGCTTCGAAGTGGTACAAAGTAGTGTGCGTGTGTTGGGGGGGGGCGCGGCGTGGGGGTGTCTTGGGGAAGAGACACATAGTTGCCAGGGAGAAGAGGCAATTAAAACAATCACCTCGAAGGCCTAGCGGAGACCTGGAGGGATCCCAAGAGTCTTTCCAGACGGAACCCCGGGGAGCCGAGGCGTTGCAAGGAGCCCTTCTCCTAATCTCGATCCCAGAAGGGCATTAACAAAGTGCTAGCAAAAGGCCCGGAGAAGGGTAGGCATGTAGCTTTGCAAGATTTCGCCAGAGGAGGTGAGCCCTCTATTTTTAGGTTCACAGCACCTTTGCAGCCCTCCTTCCCCGGGCTTAGCTTTCTTCCAGAACAGACCAAAACAAGCTCAACAGTAAGTTACACTCCCGAGCTATGATAACGCTGCAGTTGCACTCTGGAAAAGACACTGGCGGCAGTGGGTTAGTAGATGGCCAAGTCTCGCCAGTCCTAAGATAGCCGGGGCCGCACAGAGCAGCGCCCTACCGGGTGAGGCAGGGGAATTGCCCCCCGCCCCCCGACTTTTCAGGTTTCCAGGGCACCAGGAGCTCCACATACACACACATATATATATTTTCCCACGTGGAAAAGGCAACCTACCCTGGGCAAGGCTAGCGTCCCTCCGGTTCAGCTTGTCTCTTGAGCTCCCGCTAGCCTTCCTACTTTACACTTGGTAGTCTGCTTGGGGTTCAACCGCGCCCTTCTGCCCTCAGACGACACCGCCGCCACCCCGCTCGGTCCCCTCCAGCACACTTCCCCCTCTTACCTCGGATCCGGTCTCCGTAGACCCCCAGTTGGACATTAACTCCAAGTGGCCCGAATCCCAGCCAGGAGACCCATCCGGACCGCGGGCAGGAGCGCGGGGCCCCGCCCAGGAGCTCGGGAGCAAGAGCACGCAATCCAGGGGTCGCGCCGGACAGCGAGGACACGCAGGAGGCGGCGGCCACCGTGCCAGCCGCCGCCGCCACCGCCGCGAGGAGAGCGAAGGCTGCCGACACCTCCCACACCGGCTTCCTGGACCCCGAGAAGACCAAGTCTGAGCAGCCGCCCCTACTTTGGCTGAGGGGTGACACGGCTGCGCGCGCGCGGCGCTCTGGGCTGGAGCTGCACCGGGGCCGGGGCGCTGCGGGTGGCTCCGAGGCGGTCGCCTCACTCTGCACCTCCTCGGGGCGCGGTGGCTGAGAGTATGAGGCGGGCCTGTCTGATGATGCCGAGGTCTTGCCTGGGGATCCGAACGAGACACCACGTCAAACCGCGCTGGCCGTCCCTTGAAGACATGAGGGCGCCAGGAGTGCAGGCTGGTCGTGGAGAGCCCGGGCCGGGGGGCCGGGGTTGGGGAGTGGGGGGCGCGGGAACCGGGAGAGGGGGAGGGGAGCGGTCCGGAGGCAGCGGCGGCCTGGGCGTGGGGGAGGGACGGAGATCCGGGGAAGAGGCTCCGGAGCTGCGGGGGCGCGGGCTCGGGGTGCGAGTGGGTGACGCGGAGCGCCCCTCCCGGGGGTGCAGGAACCGCCGCGGGGCTCGCTCCTTCTAGCCGGGTAGATCCACAGAAACGCGGGGAGCTCTCAGCTCACGGCAGCCCCAGGGGGCAATCGCAACTTGGAGGCGAGGTCCGGAGCTCCGAAGGAGGGCGCTCTGCCTGCTGGAGGCTACCCCGGGGCTTTCCTGGAGCCCGTCGAAGGCTGTCGGTCCTCCTGGAGTGTCGCGCCCTCCCGCTTTTCTGCAGGGCAGAAGGCAGTGGCGAGAAGACGAACTGCCAGCCGAAGTTCTCCCAGCGCCGAGAAGAAGCGCGGAACTGCCGGGAGAGGAGAGCAGAGTGTTTGCCAGAGGACGCTACGAGTGGGGATGCATTTATAGAACTCTCACTGTGTGACGTGCCCTCCAGTGGCTTTTCTGATTCGCTTTCTGACCTAAACACACATTAGTTTAGTCCCCATGGTAGGGCCAACACGGCCTCCAAATATCTGTTGGCTGAAGTCAGAGGCTCTGCATATCATGTATTACATGGCAGGCTATGAAGAAGGCTTCTGAGCCTGGCCGGCTGCTCAGTCCTAGGCTCCATTTCCATTTGTTGTAATGTAATACCAGACCTGGGGTAGGCACATACATTCAAAATCTCAATTCCAGAAGCCTAAGATCACTTTATCAGGAAGAGGTCAAGGGAGGTAGGGCAAAGGCCGCCTTTGTCCAGAGTTTTGAAAAAGTATTTGGGGGGAACCTCAGCAAGGACAGGGCTGGGCGCAGTGTCCAGGGAGGGGAACTCGGCCTCCTTTCCAGAGCTCTGAGAAGGAGAGAGGTGAGACCTTTTCAGGCTTCTTTCAGTTGGTTAGCTGAACACCAGCAGCAGCCAGGAGCCTTCTTTGCAGAGGACAAGAGGAGGACCAGTCTTTGCCCACCCTGCATATGGCTGAACTGTAAATACATTGTATTCACACAGACAATGGAAGTCCTCTGTCTTTGACAGGCAAGATAAGGTATGTCTCTGCTAAGGGAAACCTGTTCACCAGGAACCGCTGGACCTGAATTTAGTAGGATCTCTTTAATTTTATTAGTCTGAGACAGGGAAAGCATAAACAGGCTCAATTTACATCTATGCACCTCTTATTTTATGAGTCATCCGGTTGTTGGGGAGTGTGTGTTTCTGAAGAAGCAGAGACAATAGATAGGGGAAATGTGTGTGGCAATGTGGGGGGGAAGATCACATATTATTACAAGTACTCGGAGTCAAAGATCAGCTACTTTGGAGGCTTGTCAGTGAAGTTAGTGTGGGTGGAAAATTGTTCTTACTAACATTACTGTGATTGAGAGATTAAACCAAGTGCAAAGCAAATCTTCCAAACACACCTCACCTGAAAGCAGGATATGCTCTCCACTGCCTGCACAATACCATGCTTCCTTTTTGATAGATGCATGGTAGCAATGTACCTTAGAAATGGGCTGAAGGAAAAGCTTAATGTATTCACTTTCAGTTTAGCATTATTTTGGAATACGAAGTTGACTTGAATCAATTTAAAAAAAAAACACCACAAATGATTTCTTTTTAAGGCTCTTCCCTGGGCATGGGCAGGCCCGCCAAACACCTGCAGTTATTCAGCACTTGCCCTGTGCTTGGGAAAGTGTTTAGGCCTTGAGAAATGTGCTCATCAGATGAGGGGCTGTAAGGGACAGATGCCACTGGGTTAACTGTGAGAGGAAGGCTGACCGGAATCTCCACCACTCAGCCACGTGTCTCCCAAAAGCCTTCCGGAAAGGCCGCTCAGCCAGGTCTCACGAAAACTGGATTGAGGTCCAGGAACTGGAAGGTCATTCAGGATGCAGCTCTGGACTGGGGTTATCTTGCTACCCCCTCAGCAGCAGGCGTCTGCCTGTCCCTACTAACGGGGCTTAGCCGCCAATGCAATTCAGCTCCTCGCTTGCTCCCTGATTTCCTCCCGGTGTCCCTTGGCTTCTGCGCCAGCTACCAACTGCTCAGCTCTCCGGTGATCTCACATTTAAACTTCTTTAGTGAAAGCAACTGCTGCTAGGCACTCACAAAATATTTGAGCTGGACTGAATGTTTTAATCAGGCCTCCTCAGAGATGGCAGGTCACCCTGGAGAAAGGCAGACCCCAGATCAGGTACAATTCCGGGGCCAATGGTCTGAGTCCAAGTTGTTCACATCCACCGCCTCAGCCCTTTTGCTGAGGAACCTTCCTGGGGTCCCTTTCTACCTTCTCTTCACAATGGCTGATCACACAGAAAAAGTTGGCGCTTGGAGTTTTAACTGCCCTGTCTTGTGCCTGTTATCCAAGTCTGTTAAATGAGGTACGACTTCCTTCCTTTATAAGCGTACCCATCCATATTAGTTATTTCCTTATCACTGCGACCAAATGCCAGACAAGAAGTATCTTAAGGAACTATTTTGGCTTCACGGTGGGGGAAGGCATGATGACCAGGGCTCTCACTATGGTTGTGGGAGCTTGAGGCATAACTTATCAATGGATCAAAAAGCAGAGATAGCCCATAAGCCCCAGTCCTCTGACAAGAGGGCAGTATTTCTGCCAGGTAGGCATTATGTCCAACTGGTTCTACAACCTCTCAAAATGCAGTGGCCAGTATGCAAATTGGTCAGGGGGAGGGGGGCTTTTTACACTTAAACCGTGGCCGCAGTCACAGAAGAGTCATGTGGAGTCATGGTGTAAAATAGAATGGAGGACTAGTTTGATGGACATGTACATGATGTGCTCATGTAATGGAGTCTGCTCTGCCTGTTCCTGGTGAGACCCTGGAGAAAGCACAGAACGCACCCAGATCATCCCAGGCTTTGTTGTAGACCATTAAACATCTCCCCTGTCCCTGCTTAAAGATTTATTTTCTTTTTATTTATGTGTGTGCAGGTGCCCATGGAGACCAGAAGAGAGTATCTGATGCTCTGGAGCCGGAGTTACAGGTGCTAAGTCTGACAGGTGTTGGGACCTGAGCAGTAAGAGAAGCCTCCTTCCCAGCCTCCTAAGCCAGCATCTCTTGATCCCCAATGGCTTTGAAAACTTTCCTGTGCCTATTATGGCAATCATTTTACAATTCGTTTTTTCTTTAAAGCAAAAGTAGGAAACGTATTTTGGGGCCCTCTAGGGCAAGAGGCTGCTTTTTGACATATTAATTATCTTCAGTTGTAGTATAAAGGAAACCGAAAACATTAAAAAAAATTCATTTACGAATTTATCTGGGTGTCTTGTCTGTGTGTACATCTACATACCAGAAGAGGGCATCAGATCTCATGGGACTGTAGCAATGGAGGGTTGTGAGCTGTGATGTGGGTGCTGAGAATGGAACTCGGGTACTTTGAGACAACAGCCAGTGCTCTCAATCATTGAACCATCTCTCAAGGTCTCAAATTAAGGCTGTGTGTGTGTGTGTGTGTGTGTGTGTGTGTGTGTGTGTAGCCCTGGCTATCCTGGTACTTACTCTGAGGTCAGGCTAGCCTTGAACTCACAGAGATCATATGCTTCTCCTTCACAAGCATTGGGATTAAAAGCATATGCCACCATGCCTGGCCAAACTGAAAACATTTTACTGAGAACAGAAATAAACATTTCTATTTATGTCCAGGATTACCCTCATGCATCCAGCTACAGAACAGTTTCTTCTGAAATGAACACTTCATACACAGATAAGCAAGAAGCAGGCATTTGGTGTGTTGGGCATACATATATGGCTTGGTGTTACAATTTCTGAGTCCCCAAAAAACTGAAAAGGGAAGACCCTAGCTCTGAGGTTCCATCATCTTGAGGACACAAGGATATGCTGGACTTGAACCTGTTCCTCTGCAGTATCTGGAAGACAGTGAGTTGCAGGACTGTTCCCGCTCCCATAGCAGTATTCACTGATAAAGAAGCCATGTCGGCAGCCATGAATGCTTACCTTGTCCCCAAATCTTGGCTTTTCACCTAGAAAACCCTTCCTGAGGATCAGAGGGAACAAATGTTCACATCTCTTCTTCTAGGGCAAATAATTGAATCCCTGGTGACCTTACCATTTCACTCATATCTTCATGGGAATTTCTTGGATCTCTAAGCTAAAGATGTCTGAACAGATGGTAACATCTGTGTTCCAGGGTCTTAGGTCCCTGAGAAGAGAAACACAAAAGTGAACTGGTGAAGAATCATTCAGGGAAGGATGGGGCTATGGAAAGGGCTATGGCAGAGTAAGGCTTTCATGGGGTAGGTGTACCGAGGGAGGTTGGGGAAATTCATGCAAAGTATGAACACATTCTTGCTCAGCACTTTAGCTGTAGAGAGGTGGGATGAGCCCGTGGCCATTCACAGAGAGTTCTGGGAGACTTCTCAATGGGGTTTCTCTGTTGCTGTGCCAATGAGGGTGGGACCTGGTTACCTGGTCTCCCTTGTAACTTGGGTCT